CCTACTGTGTTCCACTAAGACGTTTCTGGTCTCATAAAGGACCGACAGAGATGTTAACAGAGATCCGAGAGAACCATGAATGTCAGTCAGTCCACCTGCACTCCTCGGATCTTTGCACTGACAAATATCTGCTTTATTGTCGCCTCAGAGTTACTGTAAGTCTAATCTGAGCTGTACAAACATGGATGTCTCGTCTTTGACACAGTTAAAGGTCATTAACGAGGAAGTGCGTTCATCGAGAGCCAGCCTGATGGTTTTACAGCACTCGCATGCGTCTGTCTGGGGTTAGTGTTTATTAGGACAGATGCAGTAATGAGACAGACACACAAACCGTTAACTTCCATTTTCATAGGAGGCTGATATTCTACATAAACACTCCAAAGCTGTAAACACTCGATTCCCATCATCATCATCCTCCCACGTGCTCAATGTCTATCTGATTGGGTAGATGATCCTCGACAAAGACAGTCTGAGCCCATTAACACCCACACAGATGTTTTTACATTTAAGGCTAACGCGAGTCCAAAGGAAGCTGATGAACTCTTACAGATCCGAGGATGTGAGCTCCCAGCATCCTGTCGGTCTCCTTGTGGCTAAGGATCTTCACCAGGCCGTCGGTGTCGGCGTTGGTTTTGGCTCGGCTGTTGGCTGCAAAGGGGAATTTGCCGACTTTAAACGGGACACCCTGTAGAGGAGAAGAGAGGACTCAGACTGAAGTGAAATGACAGAAATATTCGTTTTAAATGTTGCACTTTTCACACACTTTTCCCAAGTTATGGGACGCTTCATGGCTGTCACGTTTGTCACTTGTACAATATAAATAAGCACAAACAATCACGATGAAACCTTTCTTTTGGCTTGGATCTGGATTGAAATGTTGGGAAATATCACCACCAGGTGGCCGATGTCAATGTCTGAAGCAGCTTAGTTTTAACAGAGACACATATTTATTTCCTCCTTATTTATGCTGCGTGGCTACTTTGTGCATGATCTCTGCTACGATGGTTTAGTGACATTTCCTTCAGTTGCCCTAGAAGAACAACGCTGCACCCAGAGAGCTGGCTATCCATCGTGCTGGAAGCAAACACCTTCCCAGCTTTCACCTCCTCTTTGAGCTGCTCCTCGCTCTTGCCCACCCAGGCCACCTCGGGGTGCGTGTAGATGACTGAAGGGACGCAGTTATAGTCGATGTGCACAGCGCCCCCCGCCATGCCCTCCACGCAGATGATGCCCTCGTCCTCGGCCTTGTGGGCCAACATCGGCCCGGCAACCACGTCACCGATTGCATAAACGCTAAAAG